AACCCTCCCACCAACCCCCCCCCCACCACACACACCAGTATGGAAGAAGCCGTCGGCGTCCATGTCCTCCTTGGTTTTCTTCTCGTCCTTGTAGTAGCCCTGGAAGAGCATGGGCCCGCGGATGCAGACCTCGCCCTTGGGCGGCGAGTCCTCCGCGCTGTAGTTCAGCTCCTTCACGCTCTCCAGCCGGAACTCGTTGGCGGAGAGGGGGGGCCCCACGGAGTAGGCCAGGCGCGGGTCGGGGATCATGAGGAAGGAGGCGGCGCAGGTCTCGGTAAGGCCGTAGCCCTGCAGCACCGGGGCAAGCGCCACGTTGGCAAAGTCCTCCACCTCGGGCGACAGCGGCGCGCCGCCAGAGACGATGAAACGCACGCGCCCACCCATGGCCTGGCGCACGCGGCTGAAGACCACCTGGTCGCCGCCCAAACCCGCCAGCCTGCAGCGGGGTTGAGGAGGTGGGTGGGGGTGCTGATTGGCTCGGAGCGAATGATTGTGTGTGTGCACGTGTGATTCCTTTCGACAAACAATGGGTGCGGTGCGGCGCGGCGCACGAGGCAGGGCAAGTACAGAGGGGTGGCGGCTATGCCGTGCGCAGCATCCCTGTTTCGCCCCCGGCACCACCCACACTCCTGCTGCTCAGACCTCACGCTTAGCCCCACTCTCCCTCACACCCTGCGTCTCTCCTCCCACTCTCCCTCGCACCCTGCGTCTCTCCTCCCACTCTCCCTCACACCCTGCGTCTCTCCTCCCACTCTCCCTCGCACCCTGCGTCTCTCCTCCCACTCTCCCTCGCACCCTGCGTCTCTCCTCCCGCTCTCCCGACCTCCCCGCTTGACCCCGGGTTGACCTCCCCCCCCTTCCCAAACTCCCCCTGCCAGCCCCACAGCAACCACACTCCCCCAGCCACTCACCCGTGGGACAGCCCGGTCTTGAGGAGCAGGCGCTTGGCGGTGAAGGCAGCATTGAAGAGCACGCGCGACAGGGCCGGCCCGGCGGCGACCTTCTTCCTCACGCCGTCGGCGACGCGCTCCAGGATGCGCGGCACGGCGATGAAGAGCGTGGGCCGCAGCTCCTTCAGGTCGTCCATCAGCGCCTTGACGTCGCCCTGCCAGTAGCCGATGCTGGCGCCGCGCGACAGCGCAAACTCCTCCACCACGCGGCCAAAGATGTGGGCCAGGGTGAGGTAGGACAGCGTGGAGTCGTCATGCGTGACGGGGATGTGCCCCTGGCGGGTCAGGTTCACCACCCCCGCGATCACCGCCGTCATGCTGGCCTGGGTGTGCACCACGCCCTTGGGCGTGCCCGTGGTGCCGCTGGTGTACATGATGCAGGCGTGGTGGGATGGGGCGGGCGGGTGCGGCGCCACGTCCGACGCCGACGCGCCGTCCACCAGGGCGGCGAAGCCGTGCACCTCGATGCCCGCGTCGCGCAGGGGGGCGGCCTCCGAGCCGGGCTCGCCGATCACGATCACATCCCTGACCAGCTTGGAGATGCCATTGGCCACCTTGGCCAGCTGGGACACCTTCTTCTCCTCCACCACGATCGCGCGCACCTCTGGCAGTGGACGTTGATAGTTTGGGGTGAGGGGAGGGGGGGCAGGGTTGTGTTTGGCCTGGGGGGGAGTGGGGCGGCGACGATGGCCGTGGCAGAGGGCGGAGCAAGGTGCCCACGGAGTTGAGGAGGGTGGGGACAGGAGTCGGGGCCAAGGCGGCGTGGATGAGCGACCCTCACACCTCCGGACCCCACAAGCTGCACCCACCCGCATGACCGACAATGTACTCGACGGCGGTGTCGCCCAAGGAGTCGTAGATGGGGACTGCGGGAGGGTGGCATTCATGTACTTGGGTGAGATGGGAGACTTCACACCAAGAGGAGGTCACCAGGTTGATCAGGAACAAAACACATCCAGTCAGACACATCCCAACCAGACTGGCTCCCCTTTCCCCTCGAGCGTTGTGCGAGAACGGGCACCATGAGATCCCACCCACCTACGACCGCGGAGATGACATCCACGGCCTTCAGGGTTAGCATGTGCTCCACATTGTTGGAGCTGTAGATGCCCAGCTTGTCTGTGGGGTAAGCAAAGAGAATGAGCACGTGTGTTCTGATGACAACGAGACGCTCAAGCACACCCCCAGGCTGTAGCCGCCACAACGAATACTCAAGCAATCCTGGCATCTCCCACCACTGACTCAGGAACATTCTCACCATGGGGCTCGAAACCCAGCTTCTGCAGGGCCGCCGCTAATGAGTAGGCCTTGTCTGCAGGCAGGTGCATGGAGTGACAGGTTTCAGGTTGACCAGGAAACCTGGTTCAGACTTCCACCACTGTCTGGAGGGTTGGCAAGCAAGGAAATTGGCAGTGTCAGCCAGGCAGACCCGGAACAGCCACACAAAAGCCACCCCACACAAAGCCACAAGAATCCCTACCCTGGGTCTCCTTGTACGTCAGCCACTTGTAGGGGCCACACTTGCCGTCCGAGCCCCTGGGGCGCCAGCCCAGACACCTACAGTGGGATTCGGGTGGGAGTGAGCGTGTGGCAGTGCCTTGGCGCATAAACCTGACGGCAGCGAGTGCCCAAAAGCTATGCCGATTGACGTGCCCGATTGGGGAGCGTAAGCTCACAGCCAAGCCATGCACGCTGGCCCAGCTCTGGCTGCAGGCACCTCCAGCAGGCCTCTCCCACGATGGCCCAAGACTCACTTCTGATCAGCATGCTTCTCAGCGCTGGCCTTGAAGATCTCGTACAGGGTAGTAGAGCCATCTACAGTGGTGGTAAACTTCTCGGCGGCTGCCACATTCCGGTACACGGCCGAGACAGCGGGCGTGTCACCCTGCTCGGGTCTGCCGGGGGTGACCTCGACGGTGAGGGGCCCGACGTGCTTGAGCGAGCTCATGACGCTACCGCTAGGCTACCTGCCAGGGATGAAGCACGAACTGATCAAGCATGGAATTCAGCGGCAGATCTCGCCAAGACTGCAAGCGGGGGAGCGGTGTCACCTCCTCGCGACTGTGCAAAAACACACCAAACCCGGGGATCTCATGTCTCCCCATTCGCTGCGCGCCCACCTGTCAAATGCAGACTTTACCAAAACTAAGGCTTACACCAAGGTGAACGGACCGTGGGCATGGGGTTGAGACGATCGAAAGGCCTCCTTCAGCGCGTGTGTGCCCCTCCTTCCCGGCAGATCTCCCTGCTGTGACGAGCTCTGTCCGAAACCAAGACACAGGTGAAACTCCGAAAGGTGCCATCCCTGTAGAAACAATAGGCGATATAGTCCATAGTAATGATTCTTTTTATGGGCGTACCGCAAGGATGCTGCCACTGATGCTGGGCATCGAAACCTGTCGGCCGGCCGGCGCCACGAGCTGATGCACTCGTGAGGGCGGCAGCGGGTGGGATGGGGACTGGAAGCGTGACCGAGCCCCATCACACACCTTATCTCTTCGACCCGGATGCACAGCCGTCGACGAATCCGGTGCTGTGCGAGGTTCTGTCCCACCTCCCCGCCACCTCGGCGGCTTTTGGGTATGGTTCCGGCGTCTTCCATCAGCCGGGCCTGTACTCCCCAGGCCTCACCAAACCCATGCTAGACTTCATACTGGCTGTTCCAGACCCTGTGGAATGGCACGCCCGCAACCTGGCCCGGAATCGCGGGCACTACTCCTGCATAGGGAGCCTGGGCGCCAGCACGGCAAGTCTGGCCGAGTGTGGCGGTAGGGAGGGTGCCGCTCTGCATCAAGGGCTGTCCAATCACAATTCAGCGCCTGCACTGGCTTCCAGTACCCTCAATCAGCTCACATCCCCGCCACACTCCTGCTTCTGTCCTCACAGATCAGCAGGGCGGCAGAGGGGCTGGGCGCGGGCGTCTACTTCAACACCCTGGTCCCCATCGGCGACCAGGTAAATGGTGTGACTGAGTAATCAATTGTTATGTGGAGAACAGAGTTCATGCCCGGACCCCGTATATTCCAGCGCAAGCCCTTTGCGATGTTGTGCACATCCTGCCCCTCCATGACGATTACTTAGTCCTCCCCGCCCACTACAGTCCCCCCCTTCCCCCCACCGCCCCCCCCCCCCCTCCTGCAGCTGGTCAAATATGGCGTGATCCGCGAGTCGGAGCTGGAGCGCGACCTGACCCAGTGGAACAGCCTCTACTGCGCCGGTCGCCTGCAGAAGCCGGTCGCCTGGGTCACCGCCCCCCCGCCCGGGCTGCACGCGGCGGCCGCCCGGAACCTGGCCAGCGCCCTGCTGGTCTGCCGCCTCCTCCTGCCGCCCACCTTTGGCCAGCCCGACCTGCTGCATGCACTGTGCGCGCTGAGCTACCGCGGCGACGTGCGCATGGGCTGGGCCGAGGACGGGGCCAAGCTGGAGCGCCTTGTGGCGGGGCAGGGGCCGGCGCTGGGCAGGCTGTACGCGCCGGCGCTGCGGCGAGCCATAGAAGAGGAGGGCACGCTGCGTGCGCTGGGCCCTGGGGTCTGGACCAGCGAGCGGTGCGAGCCCCTGGGCGCCCGCCACCTCCAGGCCCTGCCAGAGGTCAGGGGGCCCGGCCGGAGGGCGGGGGGAGGAATGATCATGCGTGCCCTTTTGACTGCATATGGGCTGTGCCGGGCCAATGCTCGCCAGATGGAATTATGGCATGCACACGGGCTGTGGCGTGGCAAACTTGGGTCTCAGTGCTAATAATTCAAAGCGTGGACATTCCTCTCCACTTCACATCGAGACTACAAGCTGGGGCACTCATCAGGTGCACCCCCCTTCCGTCATCGCAGGCACTCCTGCAGCGCCTGCAGGCGGCGGCGGCAGGCCACCCCAGCCCGCAAGAAACTGCGGCCCAGCTGGCGAGGCAGCTGGAATCCGCCCCTCACCTTGCCAGGCACAGCGTGCAGAGCGCCCTGGCCAGCATCGTGCGGGCCTCCAGCCTCCGCCAGACAGCCCTTGGCCTCTTGAGCGGGGGGGTCGTCAAGTCGGCGCGGTATGGACTGGCCAAAGTCAGCAAGGCATGGGCCAGACGGCAGGCCCTGTGAGAGCGCGGTTGATGATGGAGGGCCTGGCTGGGGAGGCCTTCACTCTTAGGCCCCGCCCCAGCCCTTGCCCTTAGGCACCTGGTGGACCTGGGGCGCCGGGCCGCCGCCTCCGGGCCTCTGTTGAATGCCGGCTGGGTTGGGGCAACGCCGCACATCCCCACGGCGTTGTAAACGCCTGGAGCAACTGCCAATTTTCTGTGCAAAGCTAGCAGGGGCAGTCCAACGGCACACGCCTAGTGTGGGGCTCGTGTGTTCATAGGTTGGAGTATCCAGGGAAAACTCGGGACAGCTCTCTTGCGAGAGGATGCCACGTAGCCGCTGCTCCTCCCGAGCTTCTTCTGCTCATCGTCTGCCATCCCTCAATCGCACGCCATTGAGGAATTCAGTGCGGGACAAGAGGCCAGGCACTGTGGGACAAAAGGGGCCAAGGACGACTTAGGCAAGCAACACGGCGCAGCTCCCAGGCCTGAGCAGGTGGCATGTGCGCGACAGCCCAGCATCGACATGAGCAAGCATCCCTAGCCCTAACCCTCTCCCTTCACCTAGTACTGCCCGCCTGACCCCCCTCACCATCCATCAGCGCCTGCATGACCTCGTCTGTGAAACCTGGGTTCCCTTGGATGTCCAGGCATTCCAGCTGGTGTCGAGGGAGCCCTGGGGTTTGGTGGATCAGTGATCACGCGTGATTTGTGAATCGCTGGGCTGGAGTGCAGGACTCAATGTGTTTGCAGAGCGTTGCTGGGCCTCGAGCACTTGTCAAGGTGAACCGCATACTGCACAAACTCACCACTCAGCATGAGTAGCTCCCTCTCTGGCAGCTCATTGTGGTCCAGGTACAGGAACCTCACATTGCACAGCAGCTCCAGGCCCTGGAGGCTGCGCAGAGCGCCATTGCTGGCATACAATTTGGTGACGCCGGCCCAAAGCTCTGGGGAACCTCCCAGCTCAGAAAGGCTGTGGGCCTGCGCCCCATTGAGGTCGAGGTAGTGGACGGGCACCGACACATGACTGAGTACCCCCCCGGGAAGTCCTGCAGGGTCGACCTATTGGGAAATGATGAGATCCTCCTGTCCACCGAACGCGGGCATATGCATGCGATCCGTTCCCGCCCACCTAGTACCTGGTCGTCGAGGACCAAGGTCCCGGACCTGACCTGGGGCAGACCCCGCGGCAGCTTGGTCGACCCCGTCTGCACATCGCGGACGAATTCTGGCCAGCCAGACATGTCCACGGCGCCGTCGGCGCGACTCCAGGCGGCCCGGGGAGTGCCCGAGACGGTTCTTGCCCGGCAAGGCCTCCCAGCTGCGCCGTTCTGATTCAAGCAAACTACGTTCGAGCTGGCTTATACTTGCATGTTTGCATCATGATCTGAGCCATTGTGATGTCCTAGTAATGGGCTTAACCCATAAGTGGGTCACAGGCGGGGGAGCACGCATCATATGGCGATTCAAACGCCCCCTCCCACTCGGTATACCTTGCCCCGGCGCCACGCCCTCCCCGCCCCGACACGGCCGTCCAAGTACGGTCTGGTAACCCTAAGTTCACAGTGATCGCCCGTACCCTGAGGCGTTCATCCCCCCCCCACGCCGGGCTTTCTACAGGGGTCTTCCCCGGCTGCGCCCAAGCAAACCCCGAAGCGGGGAGGGAGGGGCCGGGTGCCGGGTTGGGGGCGGATCCCCCCCTCCCCGGCGCTGCCTGCACCAGGGGTAGCAGAGCTTGGGGTCGGTCCTGCGTGGCCTCACCCTATGAATGGTTTGTCCATGCCCTCTGCTCGTTCCGGTATGGTCGGCAAGACACATGCCCCAATCTTTTGGCTTTGCAATTGGGTACAAGCACACATGTACACAAATAGTACAGCAGCAGCAGGGAGCGACAGCAGACAGGGCATGCCCAGCCGCTGGGAGTACAAGGAGAGGGTCTTTCAAAGGAACTCTGCGGGCGTGGAAGGGAAAAGTGCCCGGCAACGCGCCGGGCACGGCAATGGTAAAGGTAGGGGCGTGAAGAGCAGGCACTGCACTGGACCAAGCGACAGGGTGTGTTTGGTATGACTCGGTTGGAACGATCAGGAGCTTGGCGGGGCTTCGAGCAAGTTGATGGTTGGATGGAGGGGTGTTTGAGCACACCGTTCAAGGGCGCTGGCCAGGGGTCTATGGAGGCCAAGCCTGCCAGCTCGATGGCGCCAAGCCCCTGCCGGCGGTTTGCATAGGGTGCTCCTGCCCCCGCCGGCGCCGGGGCGCCTCGCCGTCTACCTTCCCGACCCAGCCTCCCCCCCCTTCCAAAGCGGCGCCTCACGCCTCCAGGATGACCGGCATCTTGGAGCGCGACCCGCTGCTCCCCAGCGCGGCGTCCAGCGCCACATCCGGGGTGCAGGGCGAGGCGTCCCGCCCCTGCTCCCAGGCGCCGCCGCTGAGCGCGATGTCGCGCGGCGAGCTCGTGCCCGGCGCCGCCAGCTGGGGCGAGGGCGCGGGCTCCAACGTCAGCGTGCCCGACTGGCGCCGGACGACGCGCACAGGCCTCAGGCCCGCCAGCGGCGGCGAGGAGGGTCCAGCGCCAGCTGGCGCGCCGCGCCGGCGCGTGCCCTCCTCCCCCTCCTCTGCCGGTGGCGGCATCACTCCCCCCCCGCCGGCCTCCTGCAGCGAGTCCTGGCGCCCGAAGTGCACGCGCGGGTTGTCGCGCGACGACTCGCGCGCCACCAGCAGGGCCAGCCCCTCCGGCTCCTCGTCGCCGTGCGCGCCAGGGCCCGACAGCGGGCTACCCACGCGCACTGAGGGGTCCTGCGACCCGGGTGGCGTGCCCTCGCCGATGGAGCTGGAGGCGCTGCGCTCAAGCGGGGAGCCCCGCGCGACGCCGGCGCGCGCCCCGGCGCGCGCGGCGCCCACGTGCACGCTGGGGTTGCTGGCGCTGGGCGAGGGCGGCGGCGGCGCCTGCGCCGGCGTGCGCACGCGCACCGAGGTGCTGCCGTCCACCTCGGCGCCGTGGCCGGCGCCGGCGGCCCGGGTGCCGCCGCCGCGGCCGGGCACCGTCTTGTAGTGCCCGAACTTGGCCGCGTAGTCGTCACCATCCTGGGCCACGGAGCTGCGGAAGAAGGTGGACACGCTGCGCGACATGGCGGGGGAGGGCGCCTCGCCCTCGTCGCCGCCGTCTTTGGGCGCGGCCTCCCCAGGCGCGGCGTCCCGGAGGGCCACGGGGAAGCCTCGCGCCCAGCGCGTGGAGGGCTCGGGCTCGGGAACGTACTGCCCGTTGTACCGGCACGTCATCGCGCGGCGCCACTCCTGGGCCGCCTCCTCCTGGCGAAGGTGGGGGGGGTCACGAGCGATCCATGAGAGTGAGGGAAGGACAAGGGGATCCAGGGCAGTGAAAGGGCATGGCGGTGGGCGGAGCACAGGTGAGCAAGCGGCGGCAGGGAGAAAGGCGGTGCAGACGGCGCACATGAGGGAAGGATCCCTGGCATGGCGGCGGCAGCTGTTGCCATGCCCGAGTGGCGACTTTTGAGACCATGGCGCCGCTCCGTCCGGCACCCTGCCTTCCAGCCCCCTTGACAACAAACTAAACTCTCCGTCCTCTCACCGTCACTCGGATGAGCTCCGCCCCGACATTGGCGTCATACCACTCGGCGGCGTCCTCCGCCGCACCCCCCCCCGCGCCCACCGCCTCGCCCTTGGCGGCCATGAGGCCTAGCAGGCCTGCCACGTCAGCGTCCACCAGCACACGCACCTTGGGCCTGGGCTTGACCCCGGACCTGCTCTGGGGGGCCTTGTCGCCCTGCGCCGCGCGCCGCCGGCCGCCGCCGAAGCAGCCGCAGCCGGCTGGCACGGCGTCGGCGGCGGCCAGGCGCTGGCCCTGGCGCAGCACGGCGGCCATGGCCGTGTGCGGCGCGCACACGTCGGCAAAGGTCTGGCCGGGGGGCAGGAGGTCGGCGACGAGAATGGTGGTGTCGTCCTTCAGACCCTCGTACAGCGACAGCACCGCGTTGATCAGGCGGCTCGGCGCGGCGTCCGGGGACCAGGCCCGCGCCATGCTGGCGACCTTGGTGTCGCGCTCGAACGCGTCCCACAGCCCGTCAGAGGCCACATACAGGCGAGCGCCGGTCTCTGGGACCAGGACCTGGGATGAGTGGGAGTAGGGTGAGTGCTTGGGAATGGAGGGGCAGCATGAGCAGACTGCAAGACATGGACATGGTGTGTGTGTAAGTTTGCGCTCGGCGTCTGGGGAACCGCAGAATGGGACTGCATGGAAGATCTGCCTGGTGCCCCCTTCTTGCCATCGCCACCCGTTCCCATTCTCGACAGTTCCGTGCCCCTCCACACCATCTCCCCACCCACGGTGTAGAGGCCCCCCACCTGCTTGACGTGGGGGAAGGGCAGGACCACCTTGCCCACGTCAAAGTCGCCCACGGCCCGCGACAGGCAGAGGCCGCCGGGCCACACGCGGAGGGGCCCGATGCCCTCGTTGGCCGAGGCGGCGGGTCCGTACCCTGCAGGAATTGTGTGTATTTGCGTATGTGTGGGGGGGGGGAAACAATGCTACAGGAAGAAGCAACAAGGTGGGGATAGAACGCACTGGCCCAGGCTCCAGGTACGATGGGCATAGCGCAGCGAGGGCAGCCCCACCCCCCCACATGCCGGGCGGCCGCCGGCCGGCCACTGGTTCGCACAGCGCAGATCAATCTGTTGAACAGTCATGACCTCCACTCCCCTTCCCTGCTCTCGCGCACCCCTCCCCCTCCCTCCCTCGCCCTCCCCCCACACCCCTGGCTCACCCGAGACGTGGATGGGCGCGACGCGCGCGCCCGCGCCCTCCAGCCGCCGCCGCTCGCCCTTGTGGCTGGCCACGCGGTGGTCCTCCGTCAGGTGCACCACTTCGGACCCCAGATCCAGGAGCGCGCGGGAGTCGCCCACGCCTGCCGCCGTGAGCAGCCAGCCCACCTGGAGGACGATGGTGGCGGTGCACCCCGCCACCACGCCATGCCCCGCAAACAGCCAGTTCAGCTCCACCAGCGTCTCCACCAGCGCGCGCTGGATGGCGCAGCGCCAGGCGCGCGCGCCGGGGCCCGCCACGTCGACGGGGGGCGCGCCCCACGGCAGCCGGTCCTCCAGCAGGCCCAGCGCCTTGTCGCCCGCCAGCTGCGCGGCCGCGGCGCCGTTGTGCCCATCAAACACGGCGAAGACGCTGTAGGTGGCCTCGGCGGGGCGGTGGTGGGAGTGGGGAGTGGAGTGGGCGCTGCCGCCGTTGGCCAGGCCGTTTGCAGGGGGACCTGTGGCCGCGCTGTCGGTGGAATGCCCGGAGGGCTCCGCCGCGCCGGGCCAGGGGCGGTTGGCCTCCAGGATGGCCACATCCTTGGGGGGGGAGTGAAGAGGTGAGAGGTGAGAGGGGTTGGCCCATTGGAGGGGTCAGGCGACTGGTCATGTAATCTTTAAAACCTTATCGAGCCAGAGGATGGGCTGCAGAACTCCCAAGTAGAGCAAGGGAGGTCAGAGGAGTCACTCGTCCCTGCGAAAACCCTGAGAGGGCTACGTAGGCCAACTCTGAGCACCCCACATGCAACCTCACCCCGCACACCCCGTCCCCCATCAAAACTGGCAATGAGCAGGAGAAGGTAAGAACGTCACGTGCCGCACCTCGCCACGGTGCACGCCGGCGCCCTGTGCGGCCACCACGACGGGCCAGCCACCTCCGGCAGGCACCTGGATGGCGGACACCTGAGCCACCATGACAGAGTCGCTGGGTGTCAGAGGGTTTGGTGAGGGGCTCCGACTGGGGTTTGAGGCTGGCGTGGGCCTGGGGATTGCTTCGAGTAGATGATGCGTGTGGGTGACCCGGTCCCGACCTAGGCGAGGGTTTGGTCGAATAGACCCATGCGCCCTGTAAGCTCGGCAAGCCTTTCAATTGTTCAGAGGTGGGTGTATATTGCCATTATTCCGGATGCATGGCCCTCAAGGGCCCCCAATCAGCTGCGGCAGTGGGGACACGAACGAGACGCACGTGGGGGGGGGCCCGCCCGGCCTGGGTTGGGTGCTCGGACACACGTGCGGATCGCATAGTGCATCGTGGGTACCCGCAAGATCTCCTCCACAGCACACTCCGCTGTATCGAGGGAGCTAGATTGTTGAGATTATGATCCCGTGGTTCCTGCCTGCCCAGACCATTGCTTCACCTGACTTTCAGGCCCACATGGTGCCCAGAGGCATACATAAGAGTACTGACGCGTACCCTGCCACCACCTCAGCACCGATCCCTGGGAGTGCCTCCTTCCGGCTGGTGCATGCCATGCTTGCAATCAGAGCTGCGCAGGCGTCAGAAGGGGTCGTCGGGGTCGTACTCCTCGGCCGCCGCCGCCGTCGGGACGTGGGCCGGCTGGGCCGGCTGCACGCCGCCCCGCTGCGCCGCCACCAGCTGGGCCTGCTGCTCCGCGCCCAGGCCCCGCACCAGCTCCAGTAGCTCGGATGGGTCCCGGTTCGCCAGCGCGGCCGCGAGCGCCGCCGCCTCCTCCCGCGTGGCCGCCGTCGTGTGCGGGCCTTC